ACGGTAGCGCATCCGTGTGCCGTAAGCCGTTCCAGCCGCTCCAGCCGTGCCACCTTTGCCCTCGCGCACGTCGACAATCGCATCATGTCGGGACGACGGGGACCCAAACTGTGAGGCAGCGTTTTCCTCTTGTGAACTGAGAACTCTACGCGCTGGACTCGGAGTAAGCGTAGCCGCGAGCTCTCCGCATGCTAGAGGTCTGACTCTCGTACATGTTGCGTGACGCTCGGCGTGTAGGGTTGGACATATAGTTTTATTTTCGCCTGCCATGACGTTCTCTAGTGTACAATATAACGCTTCTTTTGTTCGCATCCATTGTTGATGTGAATCCTTTTTCGTCCGCTGTCAACAAACATAGTGACGAACGTCCTTAACCATCACAATTTCTGGCGTCCGCGACAGGACTAAGCTCTCGCCTCACATCTGAGAGTCTCACGTTGTTTGTTTGTGGCGGACGAGAATGGACGACAAGAGGAAGCTAGTTGAGCTAGGGAAGGAGATGGGGCTGAGTGGTGAGGCTCTGCTGGCATGGGTGAGCACGGAGGAAAAAGAAATGAGGGACCAGAGAGCGAAAGATCGAGAGGAGGCACGGCTAGCAGCACAGGTGGAGCATGAGCGTGAAATAGCTCGCATGGAGGCTGAAAGGCTCCTGCTCGAGGAGCGACGTCGTGTCGCAGAAGCGCAGCGGCCGAGCACGAGTTCTGCGGACGATAGTATGGGTGGTGGTCAGAGTTTTCGCAGCCCACACAAAATGATTCCTCCCTACAATGAGAGTAGGGACGAACTGGATGCGTACATCCAGAGATTTGAGAGGGTTGCCATGAGCCAAGGCTGGCCAACCGACAAGTGGGCCCTGTCACTGAGCTTGTGTCTAACGGGAGAAGCCTTGACAGTGGTAGGACGGATGTCTGCAGAAGACTCTACGGACTACGCAAAGCTCAAGCAGACGCTCCTCCAGCGGTTCCGTTATACAGAAGAGGGATACCGCACGAAGTTTAGGGATGCCCGGCCCGAGAATACTGAGACAGGTCGACAGTTCGCGGGACGTCTCTGTGGATACTTCGACCATTGGCAGGAGCTGGCGAAGACTCCCAAAACATATGATGCACTGCGAGACAAGATGGTGTCCGAGCAATTCCTCAGGCGGTGCGACGAGAAGTTGGCTGTCTTCTTGAAGGAGCGAGGATGTCATCACCTCGACACGTTGGCAACGACGGCTGATCAATATTTGGAAGCTCAGGGAATTGTGAATCTCGCTAGAGGAAAAGACGAAAAAGGGAAACCGATGGCTACAGCTAAAGTTGACACTGTCAGCGAAAGCAAAGGAAAACCGCTTTGTTTTCTGTGCAACAAGCCGGGTCATCGAGCTTCCGATTGCTGGACAAAGTCTCGAGCGCCCAAGTCGACGTCGTGCTGGATCTGTAAGAAGTCAGGGCACAGATCCGATAGTTGTCCCTCAAACTCGGGAAAACGTAGAGAGGCATCATGTTCCGTCTTGGGATACCAGAAAGCGCAGCATGAGAAATCAATGGAAGATGCGCCTGACAATCAGGATGAGAAACATTGTCATGACATGTGTGATGGGACCCAAAGCAACGCAACTTGCGACAACGGGTCAAAACAAATGCCAACTGTAAAGGGCTATCTCGAAGGGAAGCGGGTTACCGTATTGCGGGATACCGGTTGCAATACAGTAGTGGTGAAACGATCGCTAGTTCCTGACTGCAACTTGACTGGCAACACCCGTACCGTTCGCTTATTGGACCGATCTGCAAAAGTCTTACCAGAAGCAGAGGTGTACATAGATTCTCCGTTTTTCAGAGGTCAGGTGCTTGCTGTTTGTATGGAGAATCCATTGTATGAAGTCGTGCTTGGCAACATTGCGGGTGTACTATCAGCTGCCCGACCAGCCCCGAAGCAGCCAGCAAGACGTCCAAAACTAGCTCAGATTCACCATGATCCAGTATGCACTGAAGAAGAACCTGAAGATGCAACCTCATCAGATAGAAGACGACAAGATGACATGTCGGCGGCTGCAGGAAAAGAAAGGAAAAAGCCCAGTGAACTGATTGTTTCTCGGATCCAACCCCTGGATATTAGCCGGGAAGCGCTAAAGAATTTACAGCACGCAGATCCCACGCTGGAAACCTGCTTCGCCGCATTGGGGAAGGTCATATCTAAGAAGCCAGCAGTCACTGAGTTTGTGCTGGTACGCGACATTCTTTTCCGGCGCCACCGCACGGCAGAAAGGCGAGACTTGGAGCAACTTGTAGTACCCAAGGATCTTCGAAACACCGTAATGAAGATGGCTCATGAAGGCCTTCTGTCTGGTCACCAAGGGCACAGAAGGACAACAGACCGTGTCCTTACAGAGTTTTATTGGCCGGGTGTACGGGCTGATGTGATACGGTTCGTGAAGTCGTGCGACGTATGTCAGAGGACCGTGCCTAAACACCTCGTCGGACGAGTTCCATTGGGAAATATGCCTATCATAGACACACCTTTTCAGCGGGTCGCCATCGATATTATTGGCCCGCTGTCACCAACGTCATCCAAGGGCAACAAGTATGTCTTAACGATGGTAGACTTCGCTACGCGTTACCCGGATGCGGTGGCACTACCGAGCATCGAGACAGAGCGCATAGCGGAAGCACTAGTAGAGATGTTCTCCCGCGTTGGGGTGCCCCGTGAGATAGTGAGCGACCGTGGAAAGTCGTTCACCTCGAGTCTCATGCAGGAACTCGGTCGGCTACTTTCATTTCGTCAGCTACCCACAACGCCTTATCACCCCATGGCCAACGGACTTGTGGAGAGATTTAATGGAACTCTCAAACAAATGGTTCGCCGCATGTGTCAAGAACGGCCGCGACATTGGGACAGGTACTTGGCTCCCCTGCTCTTTGCATACCGTGAAGTTCCCCAGACGAGCCTTGGATTCGCGCCGTTCGACCTCCTCTACGGCAGATTTGTACGCGGGCCAATGTCGATCCTTAAGGAACTGTGGACAGGTGCCAACATCGATCCTGAAACGAAAACAACATACGAGTATGTTATAGATCTCCGGGAGCGACTGCAAGACACCTGCAAGGTAGCGCATGAAGAACTCCTGAAGGCGAAAATGACACAGAAGAAATATTACGATAGGAAAGCAAGAGTTCGACACCTATCACCCGGCGACAAAGTATTGCTGTTGCTACCATCAGATAAGAATAAATTGATCTTGACATGGAAGGGACCCTTCACAGTGCTTGAAAAACGCAGTGACTATGACTACGAGATAGATCTCGGAACACGGAGAAGTCTTTTTCACGTTAACCTTCTCAAGAAATACCACGAAAGGGAGCCTATTGCTTACTGAGTGTGACTTTGTGGTTGAGTACATTAAGGGCTCCGACAACGTAGGTGCCGACTATCTCAGCCGCATTTGACTTCTCCGCTGGTTAGCGTTTAGTGGTAGCACAATTTCTTTTCATGTCAATTCACCCTTTCCCTAACAGAATGAACTTCTGTAAATAATGTTTTTTTGCTATGCTTTCGCTTTTGGGTACTCCACCTCGCGCGCTTGTGAAAAGTTGTTTTCCCCCTAAACAACTTTCTTGAGCAGGGGGATATTTGTAAGGAATGGACACAAAAGTGCTGTGGTTAGGTACGATTTGTGGCTAAAAGGACTTGCAAGCGCCGAGGAACGCCAAACCGAAACTAAAGAAGACAAGCGGAGGGCAGGTGGCACGAAGGCGATAACAAGAAATGGAAAAGAAGAGGAGAAGAAGAAGGAACGTGGAAAAGCGAGCTCGAGCGTGGAGGCCACGAAGGCAGAGGAAGCAGTGCGCCGCTCGAGCTGGACGAGTTCCTGGGAGCGTTCCTGAGCCGGACGTGGGACCCGTACGTGTCGGCCAGGTCGAGCTCCGGCGTGTTCGTTCGGGGTCGAGTCCACCGGCCTGTTCAAGGTGCAAGGACGGGGCCTGCTGAACGGCTCCTGCCTGGGTGCAGTGGCCGGGAGCAGGTTCGTGGCGAGGCCTACCGGGCGTGGTCCTCGTGAGCCGGGGCCTGACCCTGAACCTCAGGAGTTGCGACCCTGACTGCTGGCCGCGACGTCTGACTAAACGGCGCTGCACACGGTAGCGCATCCGTGTGCCGTAAGCCGTTCCAGCCGCTCCAGCCGTGCCACCTTTGCCCTCGCGCACGTCGACAATCGCATCATGTCGGGACGACGGGGACCCAAACTGTGAGGCAGCGTTTTCCTCTTGTGAACTGAGAACTCTACGCGCTGGACTCGGAGTAAGCGTAGCCGCGAGCTCTCCGCATGCTAGAGGTCTGACTCTCGTACATGTTGCGTGACGCTCGGCGTGTAGGGTTGGACATATAGTTTTATTTTCGCCTGCCATGACGTTCTCTAGTGTACAATATAACGCTTCTTTTGTTCGCATCCATTGTTGATGTGAATCCTTTTTCGTCCGCTGTCAACAAACATAGTGACGAACGTCCTTAACCATCACATCCGTAAACGTATGAGCCGTCATTTAGGTAGGAAACAGCGCGCAGACAGACGAAAAAAAAAAAAGCGCATATACATGAAGGCAGGAAGATTACTTGTGCGTGTGGTCACAGCGTACGCGATACCAGAAGTGTGGCAGCTTGGGCTGGTTGGTATGACATGACGATAGTTATAGCGCGAGAACAAAACGACGACACAGAGACTTCGTGTCCTTCTTGTCTCTGTGTCGTCACACGATACCAGCAGAATTCCAATGGTGGCGCGCGTCGTTCGATGTCTCGTAGCGCCGCATAAACGCAGTAAAAAAGAAAATAAAAACAACAGTGCATAGCCAAAAATGTGAACTCTGATGCATCCATAAAAAGTGAGAAATCAATAATGCAAGCTAGAATTGCAAGTACGACTTTTGATTTCTGGGTAATTATTGCGTTCCCGGTGTGCGAAACTTCCACAGTGCTTTTTCACCTTGTCCCCGCGCGGGGCGTCTGCTACCGGAAAGCGCCTGCTGCCGCATTCTTTTTCAACATGTCGCGCGCGTCCGTCAACGAGTTGTTGATTGAAGAGGTGGCAAAGCGGCCTGTTCTATGGGATATTACTCTCAACGAGTACAGAAAAACGAGGAATAAAATTGGGCTATGGGAGGAGATACGAGAAGCACTGCAAAACGCCGAACCCAATGGTATGTTCCCTTTCTGTATAATTTCATCTTTATAGCGCAATACCAACGATTTAACTAGGGTCAATTGCCTGTTTCACTTACCATCACTGCGTTAACGGTTTTAGAGTTTAGCAAGGCTTTTCGTTATTACTTTTTGGTGCTTCCACGCGCGCTCGAAACCTCCATTATCTCCTTTACGGTCGCCTACCACGCGCTAAATTTTGATCCCCAGACATTAAATCGAATGTTGTAGCGGGCCGAAACGTTCGAGTATGATACGCCAAATACATTACGTGAAAACACGTCCGGCCCGTATTCCAGCGTTTTTGTGAATAATTGTTTATGTCACTGTTTCACTAAATGGGTAAGCCCTGAGAAAAAAAAATTCTTGGCATTTTCAGTATGCCCGAGGGTGCCGGCAACACAGCACCGTCATTGGTTTCTCTAATTTGTGTGATGTAACGTTGACCCGTGCTATCTGGGATGAAACAAATGCGAAAGTGGCGCAAGTCTAAACTGCAACAAAGTTCATCTAAAGAAATGCTTATGATGTGTGTTTGCCAATGCCTTTTCGCAGCACACATGCTGCAGTAATGTTGGGTCGCTTTTATTCTTCAGTGACGAAGCTTTTCTTGCCTATTGTTTATAAAGCTCAAAAGCATAGCAGCTCTTGTTTTCAGCAGCCACAAAATTTGTGTGAACTAGTAAGTTATTTCCAATAACAACGTAAGCGTAACCATTCGAGCATAAAGATTTATGATGCCCACACTTTTTCCTGTTGCCTTCACTTATCAGTTACTGTAGAAGAGCTCCAGAATCGCTGGAAGAACCTCAAGAACACCTACCGCAAAAAACTCAAGGAGTACAAAGACCAAATGATAAGTGGCTCTGCTGCCAAACCTAGAGGAAGAGCATGGCGCTACATGGAGCATATGCAATTCATGTTTGACATGTTGGAACCTCGGCAGTAAGAACCCCTTTATTAAAGTGCATGCTTTAAGTCGCAACCTTTTCATAACAAGAACTACTAACTGTGCAGGACCCACACCAGCTTCCATACCGCTGAACAGCAGGAGTTGTGCGAGAAGAACTCCATTGGGTATACAGAAGGTGATTGCGATCAGCCTTCACAGGACTTGTTTCACGAAATTTTCAGGGAACATACTGCCACGCCTGTTACCACGCTGACTGCCACACCAGTGTCCACACCTGCTCCTATTCCTGAAACTGCACCAACACGCACTCCCACTTTTGCACCCATGCTTGCTCCTTTACATACAGCCACACCTGCCACATCTCAGCAACCAAAGACCTCAAGGAAAAGGAAAAGGGTAGAAAAAGAGCTCGAAGGGCTCAACAAAGAGTTAGCATATGTGAGCAATGCCCTGCCTGCATTCCAGCCGCTATCGGACACAGCTCACTTTCTGCTTTCTTTAGAGCCTGCAATGAAAGAGGCACCACAACACATGCAGTACCACATGCGTATGGAATTGCTGAACATTGTGTCGGCGTATAGCCGAGGCCAATATCCTGATTTGATAATTCGAAAAGTTCATCCTAACACTGGTGATTTCAAAAATTAAAAGGCGAATGACTCGATTGCATCAATCAGTAGAACTTCAGTTTTGTCACTTTTCTTAACCACCCACTAGCTATAATTAAAAATTACAGGAGTACTTAAGGTCAAGTGGGTCACCGCAGCTTTAGTTTTATATTTTAGAAATTTCTTGTAATCACGTTGCAAGATTAAGTGGGATCAGCTTTTGACATTCGATTCATACCATTGCAACCCTGCTTCTTTTCTTTTCATCATACATTATAGAAACAAATTTTATTCACCGGTGTAAAAGCGAAGTGCACTTTTTTTCAGAAATAACATATATGAAAGTGAAATGTGGAACGTCAATTCCACGCAGTAGTAGCAGTAACCACTTCTGAATATATTTTTTAATAAATGTATATAGGGAGAGGTTGGTGCCAATGTTCGAAGGTATTGCACAAAAGTTGACATCGCATATTTTGTAGCAAACAAAAGGCAAACATATGCACATAGCACAACATTTATGCAATGAGTCCACGCTTTTCAATATTGACATGTTTCCGGACCACACAGAAATGTGTCCACAACACAAAGAGTTTGTAAAAATGCTTGCATTCACACTGACTAAATTCATAGTGCTTAATATTATACAGAATATGTTACTGCATTTTTTTTGTTCTTTTGTGCACATCTGTATTTTCTGTATGGATCGTTCTTATCTGTATTTTACATATCTCAAGTTATTTTCCTTAGTGTCATGATGCTTAATATTATACTGCAGGAATGTTATTGCATTTTTGTATTAGTTTCTTTGTGCTTATTTACACATTTTGTATATCTTATGTTCAATATTTTGTACTTCTCTGTACTTTTATATATCCTTATTTTTGTATTCCTACCGCTGTTTACTATTGCATTGCATCTCTTATGAACCTTTTTTTTAGAACGTCTCAGTCGCAGTCTGGCGACTTTGAGACCTCCTACTGTATTTGTATTCAATACATGCAATTTATCACTAGTACTTCAATTTCACATAAATGTCTAATTAAAAAAATTTCAATCTAAGTGTCTACACAAAATATGAAAGCTCAATAAAATGTCAAAGGTGGTTATGCCTCTTAAGTGGTGAACTGTTTTCAGAAAGGTTTCCCAAAGATATTGTAGTGAAACACAAAATGTTATGCAACATACCTGCTAACAATAACGCTAATACATTTTCCTTTCTTTTTTCCCTTCTAGTACTTTTGAGATGTTTCTGATTCCTCCAGAAAGTGAACGACTGCACACGCTGCCGTGGCATGTACCTTTTCTTTTGTCTATGGAGCGAAGATTTTTGCAATTGATGAAGATCGCTTATAGTGTCCTGCGCCTGTTTTACAACAAAAAATTTTTCTCTAAACTTGTCGCGTGCCGGACAAAAAACTACATCATGTAACATTAGTTCTACATCAACACTGTTCCAGTGCTTAGCTCCAAACTACCTAGGAGGAATTCTGCATTAACCTGCAGGAATTTAAACACAAACGGTGTGGATAGAATTCTGAAAAAGAATCAGAAGGGCGCACATCTATTTTTTTTTTAATGAGCTAATTGTAACAAAAACAAGCCATCCTTGATAACATGTACAGAAACTGTTCGCTGCCTGCCCCAGTGACTACGCTCCAGAAGCATTACAGCTGAAACATTTTCCGGTCACATTACCTGGAAATGGTTGGGACTGAATTTATTTCACCGATTCATCCACATTTCATAAAAAAGGAGTCATACATGTGCGAACCATCACTGAAAGTATGTAAAGAAGCCCTCGCATTAATCAAACATAGTGCTTTTTGGTGCAAGTTTTGAGTGGCTTCAAGCAATAATACATGCTTGCCAATTCATGCTTGTGTGCCTCAAAGGCCACACAATTTTGTTGCACTACAATGAAAAAAAAAATCACCTTTTCTGCACACCCTTTCTATCACACATCCTCATTCATTTCAAGTCATATTACATTCAAAGAATTCAAATGATCAAATAGTGCGAGAGCCATGCCAACATAGATGTTGGTTTTTGTCGTTCATTCTTTCACATGAGTTCATCCTACACGACCTTCCATTGTGAGCTTCTACCTCACCCACATTTTTGTAGTGTTCTGCAAGAAACATGTCATTGATTGAGTATTCTGGGAGCACATTTGGTTGCTTGGCACACATACAACATACATACATTATTAACTTGTGTTATGTGTTACTGTAAGAAGCACATTGAAGCAATAATGATATGCGGAAGTGCGGTTGTGGCATCAAAATGCTAAATGAGAAATGCAGGACATGATACAGACAAGGTGAGTAGTTAGTAAGACCTTGTGATCAGTGATTTGGTATGTGCAGTGATGTGATACCTGTGCAATGAGGTAAATCATGTAGCATCCTGCAACATTTTCACAAAAAGAGCATCTGCATTTGCAGTTATGATGTGCCAAAAACATTTTTTTTGCATTTCTTTCACAGAAATAATAACAGCCTAAACATATTCACATACCATGCACATGTTCCCGCTACTCCTAAGTGGTCGTTAAAGCATTCTGGCGCATGACATGCACTTCACTTACTAGGCACTACACTGCCAAACTAATCACACTGGGCCACACTGCATCTATGAAGTTTTCTAATACTACTAGACCATAATATTAGATTACATTTCTTACTTCACTAATGTAGTTAAACTTGCAGCCCGAGCTAGGGGCACCTGTAATGCTTTGCATTGACAGCAGTCTCCTATACTAATTCTAGTGATTACAATGACTAGTAAATGTGTATACTTCAGTAGTAAAAACTACTTTTACTAAAACGGCATTCTTTGTAGTTGCATACTTCTATAACAAATCAGACAGGATGTTTACTTTTTTCAAGTTAGGTTTCACTATACAATCACCACACTTCATAAGCTATTGTATGTAGTGATCTAGACACAGCCATTTTGCTGCTATAAAATGGTGTCTACCAATCGTGTTCTCTTTCTTTACCGCATGGACACTTTATGTTCGGGAACATGCCGAAGATATACCATAACACCCCTATCATCACAAAGTCGGATTTCGAATACATGGGAATCCTTATTATTGACCCCATGTGTCAGCTGGTATTTCAATGCTTCACGTCGTAATGTCGTCCCATACAGCGCTTCTAAACAAAAAGCGCAATCAAAAAATAACGACGCCTGCACACACGCGACTGCAGCCCCTCGTGAATTTGTCGTGTCACTAATGTCTTCGAATATGATGGAACTTTCGCATCACAGATTTCATGATGAGGAACCCAGGCTATCGCTACGGTTTACAGTCACGATCACATTGCATTCCACATTTTGCGCGCACGCACACACACACACACACACACACACACACACAATTGAAAGCTGACGTCTGCGGCTTCGCAGACGTCAGCTTTCAATTCCACGCAGGCTGCAACGTTCGTCAAGAATGCAGCTGGTAGCATGGTAGCAGGCATTGTTTATGGAGAATATGGTGATACGCACACGCACCATTCCGTTAAGCTTTCCGCATATAAGCATTGTTATCATCACACGCGAGCACGCACCGAGGAAAGAAAACGCGCAAACACAGAAACTTCGCTCCACTTCGCACACAGCCATCTACGCACGCAGCGATAGAGTTTTATAAAATAGTACTCGTATGAAACTGTCAATTTAAAGGGTAGTTAGATTGCAGTGTTCTTACATGACGAAACACAAGTGCTCGTCGTTCTTTTCGCTATGACTGCATACGATCAAATATGATCTTCGGCTTGGGCTCGCTTTGGCTGGTTGTGGGCCGCTAAACCGAAACTAACCTTGACCAGAACTAACACCCGCAGCTAACCGTTTAGACCACAGAACACCACCACCGTGCCCTGTTGCTTTTAGGCTATTACAGTGCGGCGGTCCAAAATTTCACAGACGACGAGAATTTCGGCCAAACTAAAATCGGAAGAAGCGTGCGCGCATTCTGTATGCACAGTACGCGTGTGCGCTCGCCCTCTGGGGATTCTTTCTTTTCCTTTTTTTTCTTGCGGCGCGTTATACAGATAACTGCGAGCGTAGAGTTTCATACTCCTTCCAACAAAGTAGCAAACAAAATAGCAAAAAATGTGCTGAAGAGTCAAGCTGGCAATTATCAGTGACATAAACATGCGCGCATACGGCCTTGCAAGCGTTGAAATGTTGATTGATTGATATGTGGGGTTTAACGTCCCAAAACCACTATATGATTATGAGAGACGCCGTAGTGGAGGGCTCCGGAAATTTAGACCACCTGGGGTTCTTTAACGTGCACCCAAATCTGAGCACACGGGCCTACAACATTTCCGCCTCCATCGGAAATGCAGCCGCCGCAGCCGGGATTCGAACCCGCGCCCTGCGGGTCAGCAGCCGAGTACCTTAGCCACTAGACCACCGAAGCGTTGAAATGTCAGCATGCAGATTCAATTCGTCAATTAACATATATGATGTTATAAACATGCTAATGAGAATGTTAGAACTTGTCGCGCACGATCTTAGTTTTGGAAACAACCAATTTGGGATGTTCTAGGGATTATCCCGACTCCGACAAACCTGTAGCCGTTTTCTTAATTCGTCAAAAAGCTTCCTGTTGTTCGCTTTTTCATGTGAAATACAAGTCGTCTTTTGTTAGTTTCGTAAAAGATTCCGCAATCTTTAAGAAATTTTCCACAAATCGACTATAGTAGGCACATGGACCCAAAAATCGACGCACTGACTTTTTGTCTCTGGGTGTGGGGAACCTCTGAACAGCGACTGCTTTTTCGGGATTCGAATGAACGCCGTCAGAACAATTGACATGTCCAAGGAATCGCAGTTCTTCGAAGCCAAGTTGCATTTTTCGGTTTTAATTGTCAAGTTTGCTGACCGGATGGCTTCCAATACTGGGCGTAGTCGCCCTAGATGTTGGTCAAACGTTGCAGAAAATATCACCACGTCATCCAAATACAGTAGGCATGACTGCCATTTCAATCCTGCGAGGACAGTGTCCATCATTCGCTGGGACGTCGCTGGCACGGAACAGAGGCCGAATGGAAGCGCTTTGAATTCGTAAAGGCCATCTGGTGTTACGAATGCCGTTTTTTCATGGTCCCGCTCGTCGACCTCTATTTGCCAATATCCGCTTTTCAGATCCAAGGAGGATCTGAAAAGCGGACATGGATGCTGGCATATAGGCCTCGTGGCGTCTTGTGTTATAATTCTTTGTTTCGTAATTGACGTGTGCTGGACCTTCGAGGCAATTTGCACGCAGGACGTCCCGTGGACATCGTAACTTGGATTTGGGATGTCTGGGAAGCGTCCATACACAAACGGCTTTGGGGCACCAGACTTTTGGGGCCCCTATTCGATTGTTGTGGATGAGTAATAAAGCAACGACGAGTTTCACCGGGAAAACAAACTTTCAAGTCATTTATAGAAGTCATGACTGCGGCACACAAACTTTTTCAAAGTCACATTTTATGCTTCAGAAACTCGAAAACTTGACTAGCTGCCTGAAGGAAACGAGAAAGGGAG